TCGGAGCGCCGGGCTGGCCTCTTTCTGCCCAAGACAGTGGCAGGAGGGCCCCAAACCGGGAGCCATGGTGCTGCTGCAGTGGGGTGCAGGTTCTGAAAGCGCTTTGAAAGGCACCTCCAGCACCGACCCATGAGGCAGATGCTCCGCATAGACCTGCCGGTCGAGACACTGATCCCAGGAGAACAGCAGAGCCTGAGGCGGACGTGGGAACCCCGCCCTCCCTCGGTAGGGAGGCATTGCAGCGTCTTGCCCAAGGGAGCAGCACGTGGCGCCCCGGCCCCTCACTCCAGGAGCACATCTCAAGTGGGGCTTTCTGGGCAGAGTGCTTGCAGGGCGGGGGCAGACCATGGGGAGCCCGGGAGGTCAGGAGATGGGGCTCTCAGTGCCAAGGTGCGAGTGGGCGCTTTTTCTGCTGTCCTGTGGTTCTGAGCTTGGGCCCACTGGCCATCCTCCAAACCTGGCTCAGTGCTCACCTGGCAGGGGCCTCTGGGAGGGCTGGAGCAGGGTTCAGCCTCTGTAGGAGCCCGGTGTTCTCACTGCTGTCCCTGCACGTCCCTGAGGGCCTGTCCCAGCAGAGGTGGAGGCTGTGTGGCATCTTGGTGGCTGGTGCTCCGGAGTTCTGCTGGCCCGGCCCAGCTGGCCAGTCAGGGACTTCTGCATTTTTTGTTCTGTTTTCATCTGTTTATTTTAATTAATAGCATTTATTTTGAGCAGCTTTAAGCTTTAACAGAGAAACTAAGATGCAGAGGTTCCCCCAGGCCCCCAGGCCTCCTGCTGTCAGCCCCCAGGTGTCGGTGTCTGTCCCGGGGTGAGCCAGCAGGCGCAGAGGCACGTGGAGGCGCTCTGCTGGCCGGTCCGCACTCGGCCTGCTCCCGCTCTCCTCCATCTCTCCACTTCTCTGAGCATCACCACTCTGGAGTGTGACGTCCGTTGGAGTCACCACGGGAGGCTCCCGAAGGCTGCTGCAGGAGCTCAGTGTAATCCGACCCCGCGTCCTGTGTCCATTATGTCTGTGGCCCTTGGGGCCGCTGCCCGCTCTGACAGCCCCTTGCTCTGTCTGCCCGCTGCTGGGGCCCAGTGTGCCAAGACCAGGTGCTGTCGCTGCCCTGCTTTCAGTGGGGTTACCCCAGGTGCCGCCCGCTGGTGCTTGGGGAGGCGTTTGATCGCACCCATGGGTTAGCTTGAACTGGCCGGGTGTTGTGTGCCCTGACCTTGCTCAACTCACTGCAGGTCAAGCCAGCTTGGCAGGGGCGGGGCTGGACCCCAGGTTCTGTGCACCCCCACTCCCCAGCAGCGGGCTCTGGGCTTGCTCAGGTCCGGGCAGCCCCAGCAGGAAGGAGGTGAAGGGAGAGTCCAGGGAAGGCAGGAGCTGGAGGAGGGCAACTCTGGGTGGGCTGGGGCTGGGGAGCAGGTCATCGTCCTGGCCCAGCCCACCACCCACTGCTGCCACCGAAGCCGGGCCTGGCCAGTCGTCCTGGTGGCGTCAGTGCCTGGACGCCCTGCATGGAGCTGTGGTGGGGTCTGTGCCCGGATGCCCCACGCGGAGCCCTGGTCAGTACCCGGACGCTCTACGTGGAGCCGTGGTGGGGTCTGTGCCCAGACGCCCTGCATGGAGCTGTGGTGGGGTCTGTGCCCGGATGCCCCACGCGGAGCCCTGGTCAGTACCCGGACGCTCTACGTGGAGCCGTGGTGGGGTCTGTGCCCACGGAGCCCTGGTCAGTGCCCGGACGCCCTGCGCGGAGCCGTGGTGGGGTCTGTGCCCGGACGCCCCGCGCGGAGCCCTGGTCAGTGCCCGGATGCCCCTGTGTGGAGCTGTGGTGGGGTCAGTGCCCGGACGCCCCACGCGGAGCCCTGGTCAGTGCCCGGACGCCCCTGTGTGGAGCTGTGGTGGGGTCAGTGCCCGGACGCCCCACGCGGAGCCCTGGTCAGTGCCCAGATGCCCCACGTGGAGCCGTGGTGGGGTCAGTGCCCGGACGCCCTGCGCGGAGCCCTGGTCGGGGCCCAGCCGGCCCGCGCGGCGCCCT